AGATAAATATTTGGGAGGGAGGGTGGTTTGAGACAAGGCCTCACTATGTAATTCAGGCCGGCCTTGAACTCACTATGATCCCTGGCTAACTTCACACTCAGCAGTCCTCTTGCCTCAGTCTCCCAAGTGCTAGGTTTATATACGAATGCAACTACAACCAGCATGCACATACATTTTAATGTTCAAGGGCCAGGGAGGTGGCTCTGTAGAATAAGCACTTGCCTGGCAAGCACAAGGGCCTGAGTTCAATCCCTGCTTCCGCAAAAAAAAAAAAAAAAACATTTTAATGTTCAGATGGTCCATTCGTTTCTTCTTAAATATAATAAATAGGAAAAAAAGGTCTTTGTACAGATAGTCCTATTTTGGTAAAGACCAGGTAATGCATTTATTTATTATTTGTTTATCTTGTGGTACTGAGGATTGACCCCAGGACCTACGCACTGAGTTGCATTTCCAGCCCCACCCCCCATTTTTTATTTTGATACAAGGTCTTCCTAGATCACTGAGTTGCTCAGGTTGGGCTTGAATTTATTATCCTCCTGCCTCAGCCTCCCAGAGTGTTGAGATTACAGCTATGTGCCACCATGCCTGGTTTGATTTTTCTAAAGGGGAAAACTATGGCCATCTTTTAAAAGCTATAATGAGTGGAAAAAATAGGATAGTGAAGACTGGCAAAATGTTTATAGGGCTGAGCCAGCACCAAGATACAGCCTTACAATCCCTGCTATTTGGGAGGCAGAGGCAGGAAGATCACAAGTTCAAGGCCAGCTTAGGCAATTTAGCATCTCAAAGTAGGGCTAGAGCTGTAACTCAGTAGTAGAGTGCTTGGCTGGCACATGGGACGCCCTGGGTTTGATTTCTGGTAAACACCTTCCCTCACATACTAGGTAGGGCTGGTGCAAGCTATTGAAGAGCGCCTGACTGAGAGGGTGGGCCCAACCTAATGGGTGCCACAAAGCCTTTGCTCTGTGCAGGGCTTCAGAGGTCTGGTCCAGTCTAGGCTTGGGGTGTGGGGGCAAGAGAGGAAGGAGGAACACAAAAGACAATAAAAGCCAAAGGGAAGAGACTCATCCTGAGATTAAAGCTTGTCAACAGCAAACTGTCAAGTCAGATATTTTTAGGTAGACACACAACTAGGATAGGTTTCTGGCCAGTAATTTGGTCAACCTTAACTAATTTCAGACATCTAAATCTTCTGATCAAAACACTGTTTAACCATATAAAGAAAAAACAAAGTATAGTACATGACAAGTCTCAGGGCTGGTCAGACAGCATGTGAAGGGCTCTGAATAGACTTCCAGTAGTGTAAAAACAAAACAAAAATGAGAAAGTCCTTCAAACATTAAAAATTTTAAAGAGCTGGGGCTCTGGTCCTTGAAGAATCACTGAGACATGAAAGCAACAGTTCTGCTCATGGGCAGGAAAGTATCAATTAGAGCAGCGCTCCGAAAGTGGCCTGAGATTTAGTGGAAGCACAACATCATCAGTCTGCCTTAGCAAAGTCTCCAGTTGACTCTTTTGTGCAATAAAGTTTGCAAAGCTCTGATTTAAACCATCATTTGTCAGACTGCAGATTACAATCCATCAGTGTGTTGTGCAATCAATCCAGTGGGCAGTGACCAGCACTTTATAAAAGCCAATCAGAGTAATATAGAAAAGGGAATGTACGCCATGGAAAACTTGTTTCATTTCTGTGTAGATGTATTTACTTGTGTGTGTTGATTTGGATGAAATGACACTTTCAATTTTTGAAAACAGAGGATAATAAAGAAGCTATAAATGTTAAGTGAAGTCAGACAGTTTCGTTGACAAAATACACTGTCATTTTCAGAGGGATTACAATTTGGAGAGAGAGAACAGGGTTGAGTAGAGAGGGAATAGAGCCAAGGAAAGGACAGAAGTGGCCAAACTTTTGTACCTCTAGAATTCTATAGGGAAAAAATGAAAAATCCATCCAGAGAGGAGATGGGTGTGGCACCCATAACATGGGTGATGTTAAGGACATGTAAATTCCTGAGTGAACTTCAAAAGAATCATTTTGGTGGCACTGGTGAAGAGGTATGCATCATTCATAGACTGTCCATTTACATTGTTGTGACTTATGATTTGTGTCTAGATGTTCTCCCAAAGTCTTTTGGCAGAACCGAGGATTGAACTCAGGCCCTTGCGCTTGCCAGGGATGGCTTATTCCACTGAACCATCTCCCCAGCCTCTCTCCCAAAGTCTTGTGTAGTCGCGGGATGGGCTTCTAGGGCTTGTGATTAATTCATGATCCAGTGCTGGGATGATGGGTGTGAGCGCTCCACCAGCCCTGGGGAGGCTGGCCTGGATGCAGTGTAAGCGAGGGAAAGAGGCCTGCTCTCTGTCAATGCTCCAACCTTTTTGCTCTTGCTACTATTGCTGTTTTTCTGCCATCATGAACTGCTGTCCTCTGCCATGTGCCACTCTGCCTCAGAGCCAGCTGAGTACAGACTGAAACCTCTACTAGCTGTGAGCTAAATAAACTTCTCCTTCCTTAATTCTGTTATTTTGTCTCAACAATGAGAGAAAAGTAGGCAAGACACTATGTGTGTCAGGCGATGTGTGAGGCGCTGGGGTACCAACATGGAACGTACAGTTTTGAAGTCTAACAACATGATCAGTGCTAGGATGAGCTGTTACAAGGCACTGAGCTGGAGCCCTGAAGGCCTGGGTGGTGGGGCTGGGAGCTGGGTGCCAGGGACCATCTCACAGACACTTTACCAAGTGGTGAACATATCTGAATACAGTGCTTACAAAAGTTTTGAATTTTTATATATATTTTTTCCTTTCCAGTTTTTCTCTCTCTATATATATTGTGTATGTATACATTTTTTGGAGACAGGGTCTTGCCCTGTCTCCTAGGTTGGCTTACAACTCCTGCCTCAATCTCCTGAAGAGCTGGGACCACAGACTTGTACCATCACACTGGGATACATTCTGCTTAAAAACTTGATTTTTCTATCTTTTCAAAGAGCAATAAAATCACATATGTCTCTATGCAAATACGGTGAAAAAAGTATTTTCATGTTTTTTTTCTTTTAATAAGAGAGCCCCCTGCCACTGTTTCATGTAGATGACACATCATGTGTTTTCAGAATGAGAGGACCAAAGTGGGCTACCTTGTGGATATCTAGATTTAGGCTGTGTGTTACAGCTGGGAATGCATTGAAGATTTTATTAAATCCCATTTTATTTTTTTGAGACAAGAACTCGCTACGCAGTCCAGGCTGGGTTTGAACTCACTGTGCAACACAGGTTGGCCTCAGATTTGTGGTAATCCTCCTGCCTCAGCCTTCCAAATCCAGGGATTACAGGCATGCACCACCAAGCCAGCCCTGAATTCCATTTTAGAAAAATTACAGGGCTTTAAAGTTGCTGATGTCACAGGAATTTAATACAAGAATTCCAGGTTAATGGAGCCAGGGAGCTGGTTCAGTAGAATAAGCACTTGCCTGGCAAGTGCAAGAGCCTGAGTTCAATCCCTGGTTGGGGGGGGGGGTGGAATGGCGGAAATCCCAGGTTAAAAATAAAGTCAAAAAAAGTAAAATAAACTTGCTCACTATACACAATTTAGTGTGGTTTTTGGGTCTACACACTATGTTTCAAATCCATTACAATTGTCCATACTTCAGTTATTTTTTGAGACAGGGGCTTGCTGTGAGTTCAGGTTGACCTTGAATTCACTATGCACCCAAAATTGACCTTGAACTCACAATAATCCTCCTGCCTCAGCCTTCCAAGCACTGAGATTACAGGCTTGTGCCACCAGCCTGGAGCTCAGCACCTTAGTTTTGCCCTACTGTTGAAGGTCAGACTGGTTTATTGTCAGGCCTTCATTTCTGACTTCCTCCAGTCAGAGTCCTTCAAGAGTGTAAGGCAGCTCAGGCCAACTAGGCTTCAGCCTCCTCAGGAATCTCTTGTTTTCGCTGTTCTCTTTTTTTAATCATCAGAATTGGTAAGCTTCTAAATTTTTTATAAAGAAACAGAGTGTGCAACATCATCAACGAAGGGAGAAATGAGCACCCAAATCAAAAGGCTCAGGACACAGCACAGGAAGCCAGCCAGGGAAAGGTGAAAGCGACACGCTGCTCCCCTGCGTCCTCAGGCCACGTGCGGAAGGAGGGGCCGCCTTCTGATTGGCGTCCCTAGGGGCTCCTCCTCTCCAATCCGCGTGAGCCCCTTTATGGAAGCGGGGGTGGGGGGCTGGGGGACGGGGGCGCGCTTCGGCCGAGGGGGTGGGGCCATCAACCTGTCCATCATCGAGTCCGCGGGTGCGGGCGCCTACCACACCACTGTACCTTAGCTAGGCGGAGTCCGGCGGGCAGGCCTCGGCCCGGGGAGGCGGGGCCAGAGAGGCGGGAGCCAATCTGCAGAGAGGCGCGAGAGGTTGGGGGCGGGGCCACCGTGCACCACCCAAACACTCGGGCCTGGCCGCCGCCTGGGCCGTGCTGCCTGTCGACCTTCCGGAGCTGAGGCCGGGGTCCCTCCCCTCGCGGGAATCCCCAGTGTCTGGGAGCCGACCCCCACCACGCTCTTGGGCGCGCGGCGGGAGGAGACGGTTGCTGGGAGCGCGCGGCGCCTCGGCCCCACCCCTCCTCAGCCCCTCGCACGCCGCCGGATTTTCTCTTTCTCCGTTCTTCTCAGCTGGGCGGCCGGAGGCGGAGGGAAGGTGGCCCCGGCGGAGCCTGGGCGGGTGCCTCCCACTCACCCGCGAGCCGCCGTGGGAGCCGGAGGATGGCAGCGGTAGCTGCAGCCGCCCGGGAGGAGGCGGTGCCGACACCGGCAGCGCGGAGCGCGGCTTCAGAGAGCGGCAGCGGCCCGTCGCGGCGCCCCAGAACCGAGACCGCCACCTGAGCCGGCGCCCGCCGCCGGGCCTTCTCCGCCTCGCCTCGCCTCGACTCTCGTCCGGAGGAGGACAGCGCGCCGCCCGGTCCGGGACGAGCGGGGGCCCTTGCGGGCCGGCCCGCAGCAGGGCGGACATGGGCGCCAAGCAGAGCGGCCCGGCCGCCGCCAACGGCCGCACCCGCGCGTACTCGGGCTCGGACCTGCCTTCCGGCAGCG